TACTTCGACATGTGGCACCAGGATGGCCACAGATGATGGAGGTGTAATGTACACACGTTTTCCCATCTTTTCAAAAACGAAAAAACATTTTCGTGTGAGAATTTTTTTCTAAATTAAAAATACAATTAGTCTAGATAAAATGAGTTTTGTGCTAACCCTTCCTTTAATTAAATTTAAGTTCAGATAACCACCCGGCGCTGTATTAAAACTGCCCTGCAGCTAGGGAGGCGCCGACAGCGGATAGCGTAACGCGTCAAACCACTTAATAATGAACTATCTTCTTAAACAAGACCCACTTTAATACTAAACCACACTTCCCACAATGCTTCACTCCTGAGTGCACGTGTCAGCAAACCGGACTGAACGTCACATTCCTGCATTCCCGTTTTCCTCAGTCTGTCGGAGTTTAGCCACCAGCAGACAGCTAATCCTCTTCCCCACCGCTCCTTTGGAGAAACGCACCCATGACACGGCGGATTTGATCTGAGGAGGTGATCCCGGGTTCCCCAGGAGTCAGAGTCTCACTTCGGGTGAGGATTTATCTCATTTTAAGCCGGTGGAGGTGTCTGTCGGTCGCAGTGCTAGAACCGTGGTAACCAGATAACAGTTTTATAAGATGCGCTGCATTCGCTGCGAGTTGACCTGCGTATGCGTTGCCTTCAGCGGGCAGACCTGTTGATATAAGCACAGCTGACGGGAGGGCGAGCTGAATGAGCAATGCGTGGCCCTGTTGTTTACTGTTGTACTTAAAGAGCTAGCTAACGTTAGCCCGGCCGGTTAGCCGCAAAGCTTGCGTCACCATTGTTACCGGTGATACGCGGGCACCGGGGGTGTGGGGGCGCCTCCAGATGTGGCTTTGTTACTCTGACAGGGGGGGGAGAGGGGGGCATTGTGGTGCAGTCGGTTGGATAACGTTGCTACAAAAGGTCCTGTCAAGACACAACACTTGGCTAACGGATACACACAGCGCTAGCATCCCAGACAGCATGGGCGTGGTTATGGGAGTGGTAAAACTGTAGCTGAGGTTAATGATTGAATCGCCCCCGTTTCAATTAGTTTGCTTTCGGTAACTTGCAGGGCAGGACCGACAGGAATGGCCGTTCAAAATGTTAGGTGTCAGTCTGGCCCGGAGAGGAGCTGAGCTTGCTGCAGCCTGTCTCAGCTGTTGACCCTAACAACAAAGAGACACCACAGCTGCTGGTAGCCTGTGGCACAACACAGTGAAGCCACTGATGCACCTAGAGGTCATAGGTTACATAGGATCCGTCATCTCCTCTGAAACTGAAACACATCCAAGCAGCTGTTAAGGTAGTGTGTGTGCGTGATGTTTAATTCATTAGTACCAGGTGGGATAAACCTAAAACCATTAATGTGTGCCTAAATAGCATTGTCATTGCCGTGTTAAAAAACAATACAGTTGTATATTAATACGCAGCTGTAAGTTTTGCAAACTTTCCAAACGAAGTGCTAGGAGTTGTGACTGCTGTTTTCAGGTTATATTTAAGTTCGGTTTGCTCGTAACATTCCTGAGATTCCTGCTGTTCAGGGACTGATTGGATCACAGTGACTTTAGCCAGGTGAAGGAATGTCTGCGTGCCAACACAAGTCACGCAGAGACGGAGACCCTTCTGACTTGAGTGAGGCATGTCTCACTTTCATGACGTTTCCTGGACGGACAGCCCTTTTTCTGGTGGAGAATGGATTAATGAATTGATAAGCCAGATTTATCCAGTCCTGCAGAGAGGAAAATGTGTTCCTTTTGATGAATTCACAGCGTATGATCCCTTCCCAAGCTGACCGCCTGACTCAAGCAGAGGCACATGTTAATTCATCAGTCCGCCGAGTTGCAAGTCAGGTTCCGCCAGTGTCTCCTCCCGAGCCCTGTATTCATTGTGTTGTCATTTAACTTGGCTAAGTGCCTAGCAAATAAAGTCTACCCAGACTGATGAAGTTATTTGTGAACTCGTTTACCTTTTTTATGAACAGGATGCAGTCAAATGTGTAGAGAATAATAACAAAAATTATATTATTTCTGAATTAAATGTCAGTAGATGGAATGTAATCATATTCCTATTTTGATCGTGCGCGGGCCTAGACATGCTTGGCCACCGTGGAGATGGAGAATGACTGTTTGTAAGTGAATAAGTGCTTGAAAGAGGGGGCCTATGCTTGCAGGACATTTCAGGGCATGTATAAAAGTGTATGTAAGGATGTAAGTGTGAAAAGAAGCAAACAAACTAAACATGTACCCATCTGGTGACACTGCTGAAGAGCCATCGGCCAACTAATCGTGAAATCTCGATAAGATGTTTACACTTGTGAGATTGTGCCATTAACTTAATACTAATTAACACAGAGCAAAGCACTGTAGGTAATTGACCCTGCTAATGTTGCATACATTGTTGTGACAGTGGCATGAGGTATTGTTACAGTCAGGAAATATTTGGCATGCACATTAAGATGTTCTGGGTCTTATTCGGATTCACAATTCTCAGATCCCCAGTTGAAATATCGCATTTTATCCTGACTTGTATAGATGCACATCATATACGACTGATCCATGTATAAATGAATCAGGTTTTATTGTTTTGGTTTTATTATTGTTTATTGTTGTTGGTTTTTATTGAGGTGTGCTCGACGATTAAACGGCTTAATCACCTCACGACAAAGGTGGTACGTAAAATGAAAGTAGCATTCCGGTTAAAGTCCTCTCCCATTCAACTGATCTAATATATGATCGGATCTGTGAAATGGCGGGTGCTTGATCAATTGTCGGTGCACCCTTATCATCTAGCCTCTCTTTTTTTAGGACCTCTTCTAAATACATCACAGCAAACAGTCCAATTTACTCTTTAAAAGTTAACTGTTGAGCCACGAGATACAAAAAACAACGATGACCTTGTGACAGTAATAGAAAAAAATGAGTATTGCTGATGTTTAAACTTGGCCTGAAATTCAGCTCATTCGAACCATGTAAGCGGAGTCAGTGCAGCGTCATCACCCCAGTGAGTGCTGTATTGATGAATGAATGAAGCTGTGAACTCTGCACTTACTGCTCAGAGATCAAACATTGACCGGGGAATAAGAGATTTGAGTAGCAGCATGCAACTCTTCTGTCCCTCACGGGTTAGTGTTTTGGGCTTTGACACGCACGCCCAGTTCTACGCATGCAGTGTTTTGAAGAACGTGGAGGAGGAGTGAACACAGCTGCACGTTACGGAGAGAGTGGGAGTAGCCTGCAGAAAACTGGAACACCCTGACTCAGCCTGCGTAGCAGAAATGTATCCTCTTTTCAGTGGGAACAGCTGCTCATTGCGGTGCCCGACGTGTACGGACGAGTGAGTGGGAAAAGAGAAAAGGAGGGATGGGTTGTGATTGAGGAAAGCGTGCGGTAGCGTTGTGAGAGGAGAAATATCAGGTGATGATCGACAACATAAGGCCTTAGCTTAGTGCAGGAATGCAGAGTAGTCCTCTATCTTTTGGAAACAAGTAATTGCAGGACTGTTGTCACAGTTGTGGTCTTTCTATGGCCGACCTTTTGTTCTCACTTGTTTTGTCACCGTCTCATGCGTTCACCCCCCAACCAGCAATGACCACAGCTCTGTCGCTAACCTTTGTTGCCTCTCTTTTCACTTTGGTTGCCATTCAGCTCCGAGGCCTCAGAACTTACCTGCACTCCATACATGTTGTGAAGCTGAATTACACACCCTCACTTGATCATTTGTGTGTGTGTGGATCTGGATCTGGACAGAATAGCATTGTTAGTTCATTGTCCAAACAGTTCCACAGTACTGCACAGGCCCGATCCTCTCCCATTAGGTCACTACAGGGGCAAAGGGGGACAATGGGGCTATTGTTTTAAGTGTACGCACACACACACATGCACATACCCTTGGACCCCCCCTTTGTGGTATGTGAAGGCTATCTTCTACTGTTCTGTTCATTCAGTTCCAGGCCATTCAGTTCACACTGTATGAGTAAACACATTTACTCTCAGCAGCTTGTTTCAGTGAATGGGAGGCGAGAATCACGACAAACTCCTTTCAGGTTGGTTTGTAATTTTAGCTCTACGAACACATATTGTACCTGTTACAACTTTCTGTAAATGCCATATTCTAGTTTACTGCTACTATTGTTCTATCAGCAGAGCAGGTTTTATGTGTTTTGCATGTATTTCAGTGACGTTTTTTAATAATGAATAATACATTTTATTTGTAAAGCACTTTTCATAAAAGAATCTCAAAGTGCTACAGGAACCAAACAAAATAACAAAAGAAACACTAAGGGCAATAACACATTAAAATCAGTAACAAATTAAAAAAAAATGTATAAAAGTGATAAAATACATTAAGAAAAACAGCTAAAAGAGGAATTGAAGTGCAGAGTGCCTGAACCAAAAAGTTTTAAGCCCTTTTTTTTTTAAAGTGTCCATGTATACTGCCTTATTTTCTCCACACAAGTGCAGCAGTTGATTTTCTATGATTAGCTTCTGATGTTGTGGATAAAGAGATGCTTTTGATTTCCTGTCCATGCAGCCACACCACTTGCACCGTACAATGACACTCTTGATGTCCTGAGACTTCATGCTGAATAGGATCGGAGTCAATTAAGGAGTTTTTTTTTTTTTTAATGAGTTGATCGCTACTGGCTACATAAAGCCTGATATTTTTCCACAGCCTTGCGAGTGAGAAGGACAGTAAGAAAGAGTAGCAGCAATGTGAACAGAAACACTTTGAGTTGAAAACTTTGCCACTGTTTCAGCAACATTTTGTAGGAGCACCACTTGTTTAAAAATTACATTTTATTAATTCTACGGAAAAAGAGCAGCAATACAAATCTTGTCCAAATCGAATTAAATGTGTCACATACTCGTACTACATGTTCAGTGTTAGCAGGCGAGTATACTCCAAAGGACTTTGGATGGATAACGTTTCTCTGCAGTGCCACTTTAATGCATCAGTATGCACATTAGATATACAAAGTCACAAGTTTTTTCTGACGTTTTGCCGTTTGCAAAAGATCACAGTTGTGCAGCAAAATCTGTTTGTTGCTCAATCTAACTTATTTGCTAACACACATACTCACATATGCTAGCATGTAGACTGAATGATAAGACTCACATGCCACTATCTTGCTCTCAAAAATAGATTACTCCAAATTATATTTAAACCCAAGTGTGAGTTTGTTAAGCCAGCCAGTCAGTAGTAGACCAGATTAGACGTATTAGCAGCTCTCACTGCATGCGGCGAGAACACTGACTAGGACTCCCAACTTGGGAGACTGGAGCTCATGTTCTGCTCTGTTTGGGTTGTGTGGATTATGGTTCTTACTGTTTGGTTGTTGTGTAACCATATCAAAGGCTGCAAAGAGCTTGTTTGACTTTGTTTATGATCTGTGTTGTGTTATCTTACTATGTCATGAATCAGCCAGTATGATTTGTAAGGAGTGAGAAGAGAGAGAGAGAGAGAGAGAGAGCGAAAAATAAATGAGTAAGTTTAAGAAAAGTTCTGGATGTTGCTATACCATACCTTGCTCTAACACCATTCACCATTGCATGCCTTCTGAACTATGTGCAGGCACTTCTTTTACATCATCCAGAGAGTAAGTGAAGATAACAGCGTTCTTTGAAAGATGTTTTTCCCTTTGCATGCATGCATCAGACTGTGTGTCAGATGTATAGATTATCTGAGCAGGGAGGCACAATATATTATGAAGTTCGGATGGTGTCAACTGGCATTTGTGCCTCTGAAACAAAGAAACAGTGTGCTGTCCAGTGCCATGCTGTGTCTGTGTGGCCGGTTTTAGTATCTGCCTGGATGGTGCTGGGCTTTGGGCACAGTGTTCAGCTTCGTTATACTGTAGTAACATGCTGCTTTGCATTTTGCAGTCTTGATCTTTCTCTGCTGGCCTGTAGTGTCACTGTCTGTCACCAGTTTCCCAGCACCTTGTTTGAGTGCACCATTCAGTTGACTCTATAAACTACTCTGTATATTCTTAGCCCGGTTTCCAGACCTCTGAATCCTTCAGCGGCTCACATACACTCCAGTTTATTAGGTACACTAAAACTAATGTAGTCTAATTCAACAGTCCTTCAGTAAATTCTACCTTCATTAAGTCTGAAGTCTGAGTTTGAAAGAGGTGTTGAATCAATTTTATGGTCATTTTGCCTGCTACAGTTATAGTGCTGTTGAATTATACTGTGTTTTAAGTGTTTCTATTATTTTTTTTAGTCATACAGTTTTAAAAGAGTTTAAACAGAACCATTTACTGCAGAACTGTTGTATTAGACTGTATTAGTTAAAGTCAACGTTGATGTCCATAAAGTGTTGGACTCTGATACGCCTGATCTTCAGCTATAGTAGAACAGTAAAGCTAAAAGTGTGGCCAGGATTGTGTGGCAGGCAGTCCTTTGTTAGGACAGCCGGTAGAATTGAGGGAGGGAGAGCGAAAAAGGGGGGAGACAGGAAGGAGCAGGGGAGGAGCAGGGGAGGAGTCGGGATGTGTGGGAAGGGAGTCTGAAAGATGTAGTCAGAGAAGGGAAAGGAGAGTGGGACAGACAGACAAAGGCCAGCGCTACTAACCACAGATGGTCATAAAAATGTTCACACCACTGCAACAAATGACTTCATCAGATATACTCACTTATCTCAATGGCCGACTCTCTCTCTCCTTCTGGGTCTGCACTCCACAGTTTGTTTTAGGCTTTCGTTGATTTCGCTTAAGTCATTTTTTAAAGCTAAAATACCAAACATTCACTGTTTCCAGCTCCTGTATTTTATAGAATATTTGAATGTACTGTTTATCTATAAGACAATACAATACGTGTGACCAGGCGAGCCGCCATTGTTTCCTGACGAGTTGAAACCGTGCAGCCAATGAGTGCGGCTCAACTGGCAGCATGTGGCAGCCACTGGCTCGGAAAAGCCGACGCAGCGATGGCCGTAAGAACAAAGTCGAGGCTTCAAAACGGTATTCCACAAACCAATGAGCGACGTCGCGATAACTCTAGCCTCAAGCAGAGATGAATGGCCTACATGGGCTGCTTTCTAACTCAACACCCCCAGTTTTTTTTTTTTTTTCATTTTCAGACCTGTAGTCTTCAGCCCCAACTGAAGAAACAACAAAGTTACGGGGCTTTCTTAGATTTCTTGAATGTGCTGTAGTACCCCACAACATCTGTAAACAGGCTTCGTTGTGTAGAATTGAAGCACATTTCCTTTAATTGGTATAATAATAAGAGATTAATCAATAATACAAATGTACTTGCAGCCCTAACTCTTCCTCTCTTTGTGTTGGAGCGTGTAGGTAAAGGCTGAGGGATCATTTCTACGAAGTTAAAATGCAAACAGTTCGTATGAATGTTCATGGTTTCCGTCATCATTTGCATCCGTATCTTGTAATGTGAGAGCCCATATCATTGCTTTGTCTTAAAGTGTGTGTGTGTGTGTGGTAAATGTGAGATGCCTTGTTGCTATTTGTGCTCCTGACCTTGCAGAGTCACTGTCTCTGTGTAGTCAGAAGGACAGCCTGCTGTCTTTATTTGTGTTTTTCCCATCTATGTTTAATACAGTAGCCTTTTCTTTGTCTGGGTGAGATACAATCCTTTCTTTAGTCCCACCCCCAGCCTCTGCCTCTCTCTTGCACCCTACAGGGATGATGGTTGTTTGGTTTGTTGACTCTCACATGCCTGGAACACCAAACTGATCATTTGTTTCTCCTACACCGGAGGAACATTGCTTTTGACGTTATTGAGCTGAAAGCAAAGCAGATGTAACTACCGCACAATGTTACGAAACACAGCAGGATAGAAAGGACTTGGGGTCAGATCTATGATACAGAACCAGTGTTTACTTTGGATATTGATGATGATGTTATTTGGGGTGACTTTAGTGCACGCACAGGCCTTGTGATTTGTTGGTGCTGCACATTAATTACTATGAAATTATCACACGGAGGCTAAAAAAAAAGGAAATACAGATACTAAGACAAAAGGAGGGAGAAGTAGATGAGAGTTGCATTAATGGACGGGTCAATGGCTATTGGCAGCAGTTTCCCTTCAGGCAGTAATTCTATACTACATGTCAAGGACGAGCATAGGACATCTGAATGAGCTGCAGCCACAGCCAGTATTTATCAGCGTGTTGCAAACATCCAGACTATTGAAAGCTTCTCCATTCATTCAAACTGTGTCAATGCTCCTACAATCAACACCTCAAAAAAATCAATACTATAGCCTTTGTTAAGATAAGAGGTAGTGCAGGGCTATTGCATTACACTGAACAGGAATACTTCATAAACTGGTAGCTTAGTGTGTATGTAAAGTATGCTAGATGCTTAAAAGTTATAAAGTTTGCCCATGTGAACGTTTGTAGATGTTTGTTTGTCTGCCAAGTGTACACATTTGTGTCAGGAGGCTGTTCGTGCTGGTTCTGGACCTCTGAATCGCTGCCCACATCTCTGATTTGTTCAGCAAGTCAAATAAATGAATGAAATGAAGTGGCAGCTTCAGTCTGATAACCAGGCTTGACGAACTGGAGAGTGGCCTGACTTGAATAACCGGACAAGATTTTTTTTTTTTCTTTTTGAGCTGAGCTGGGGCAGACGTTGGTGTTGCGACATAAATGGTCTAATTTCGGGGCGGCACACGATCTAACAGGAATAGGACGCCAAAACTGGGGCAGTAGTTCAATGTGAAGTTGTCTTGTGCTCTCAAATGACCATGAACACTCGAATGCAATTTGAATTGTCTGAAAGCATCTAGAGTCTTAATAACAACACTGGGAATAAGTAATTAATCAGTCCAAAAAAGGGAGACTGTTATTTTCTGAAGGTAAAATATGTCTTCAAGGCGCCTAGTGCTGATGCTTACGTCGTCTACTAACTGCAAATCACGAGGCTAATCAAAGCCCCGGCATCAATGGATAGATGGATTATACTGTTGAAACGTAAGGATTATACTACTGTCACTACAGTAGGTCAGATTAGGGCATGTTGACCCTGCCACATAGTATGCAGCGATTAAAGCAGTAGTCATTAATGCACACAAAGAAAAGCAGCCGAGTAGTGACGGGTAGGGAGATTCTGATGTGCTCACGTGTCCTTGAACAAGAGACTGATTGAGGTTCCAGTCTCTCGCTCAACAGGGGTGCTGTCCTGTGGCTGACCCTAAGGTCTGATCTGATCTTCCAATGGAGCCTTTCCCTCTTGGTAGTAAATGAACTCAGTATGTTTTTATTGTTATTGGTACACAATAAGGTGTGTAAAGATGTTTTTGTTTTGTTCTGTTGAAGTAGTTGATGTGATCTCAGCAGCAGTTAGCGAGATCTGACATGTTACAAATAGACGAAATAGAGTATTTAGGATATTTCACCCCCCCCCCTACTATGGCATTAGTGGTCAAAACCAAAACAAAGGGTTTAAACTTTGTGTGGCCGACTTGTTGGCTGCAAATGCACCGGGCTCCCCAGCGAGTCCCCAGGGCTCAGCAGATACCATTCTGCGTGCTCCAGGGCCATAAATCCTCTTTGCATGGCTGGTGATCAAGCCATGATGTAAAGGAGCTTAGCGGCAATAGACAGGCAGGCAGGAAGCTGCTCTCCTGTTGGCCAGGGGTCAGGTGATCACACACAACACTGACAGGAGAGAGAGAGAGACACAGTGGGTAATAGTGGACAAACAAACAGGGAAATAGACGTGGAGAGGTGTATGAATGGTGCCACCAGAAGGAGTTTTGACAAAGAAATTAACATAGATGAGTCAGATTTTTTTTTTTTTTTCAAAAGATGGATTTGATGTAATCTGAGTGAAAACACAACCTGTGCCTGCTGTTGGACACTTTTTGAAGCAAGTAGTTGCTCTATGGACGTTTGTCGACAGCGGTGAGGTTATGTGCCTCCTTTGAGTGTTGGGAAGTTGAGGGGGACCGAGGTGAGAGAAAGGCCTCTTGTTATTATTGCTGATACTTGCAAGTAATGGTCATTCTCTTTACCGATTCATAATGTCTATTAAAATGACAGGAAATAGTGAAAAAATGTCCAACAGTCCAACTGTCCAAAACACAAAGATGTCCAGTTTACTATCCTATATGATAGCAAAAAAAAAAAAAAAGCATTAGATCATTTGAGAAACTGGAACTTTTTGCTTTTTGCTAGTAAAAATATTAAAATGATTATCATCATACGTGCAGATAGATGTGTTTTGTCAGTCAACATATAGATAAAATGACTAATTTTTGCAGCTTTACTGGTACTGTACTCAACAGGTTGTTGCTGCCATAACTGTTTTGGCAACAAGAAATGAAAATAACCTAAGCTATCCACTCCTCTAGGACTTTAGCTCACCTTGTCTGTTTGACAATCATGTGTTTGTAGTATTGATGCTGGAGGTCCTATTGTAAACCAGAGTTCTAACCACAGGAGATGAATGCTCCTAGTCATGTTGAATGTTTAGCTCACTCCTCTCTCTCCGTCTTTTTCTTCCTCTGTGCACAGGTCACTTTCCTTCCTCCCTTCCCCTCCTCCCCTTCCACCCATCGCAGCGCTGGTTGTCATGGAGAACTCATCAGTGGCATCTGCATCATCTGAGGCTGGGAGCACGCGCTCACAGGAGATAGAAGAGCTGGAGCGCTTCATCGACAGCTATGTGCTGGAGTACCAGGTGCAGGGGCTTCTGGGAGACAAGGCAGATGGAGACTTGGACTTGGACAATGGCGGCAAGGTGCCCCAGGTCAGAGCCTTATTACTTAAATGGATGGTTATGCTTAGTACAGGTTCTGGTGGTGTCTCTGACATGCTGGCAGCCTAGAGCCATGTTGTTTTCTGCAACATGCTGCTCATGTGCTGCTGAGGTAGTTTGTCCACTGTGTGTGTTATTTTTACTTTACTTTTTAGATTTGTTTAGACTTAAACAACCCCCCACTCCCCTTTCAGAAATGATAGCACCTTTTCCCCCCATTTCTCTCCTCCAGTGGACAGATGACTGTAACAACAAGAAAGATGGCAGCTGGACGTCTTCACGGGGGAGAGGCTCATTCAAGCCAGTAAGTGTGGCTGTCACCATTGTGCTTTTATCACAGCTTAACACCTTGATTAATGAATTGAACAATCATTTACACTTTAGTTCACTGAAGGGTTGTAGTGGCAATAAAAATGCTGGTGGTAAAATGTAACCTACCTTCCTTCACAAGGACTGTGATGATTACAAATATGGACCTATCCGTCTCTATCTCAAAAAACAATACCCAATCAAGTACATTCTTTACGGCCTTTATTATACATCAGTGTTTGGACAATAACAAAATAAAAAAAGGACTACTGGGGAATTCATTGTTTAAGTATATGTTTAATAATGTTTTATAGTGTTAGTCCCTGTATCAAAAAAACTTTATAACAAGTTTAGTTTAGAATTTGTTTCCTTCCATGACCTCCCTTCTAAGTTGTTTATAAAATAAGTTTTTTATCTATTTTCCTCCTCTTCCTCTTTTCCTTTAAATCTTAAATCACTTGCACCTTTCTCCATATGCCTCTTTGCAATCTCCACTGTTGCATTTGTCTGTTTCTGTCTCCTCTCCTCAGCCCCTCCTTTACTTTCTGAGGATGTAAAAAGGCTCTATTTTAAAAAATCTGACACTGTGCAAAACCTGACATTCAAATTGTAATTACAACTATTCTAGATGTACAGCATTTGGAACTTCAATCGTAGATAAAGTGGGCCTGTTAAAACAACACAAATGACAATTAAGTGCTCATTGCTGCCTAGTTACTTCCACTTCCTGACAGATACTATTTGATGCAGCATATTTCCGAAAATGTCATATGTTGTTCCTCTGAAGTCTGATTCATTAATCTGATCCATGACAGTGTCTCCAGTCTAGGGTTTATTTGTTTGATGTGCATTTACCCTCCACTAAAGCCCTGATTCTACAGCCACATCCATGTTGTATGTTGTCTTCTGTGCTCATCTAGAACCTCTGGTCACCAAAGCATCACATCCATTAAAGCGTAGGTTTGCTCTGCTCTCAGGTCTGTATGTTCGGAGTAGTCTTTACCTCTCCATCAGCTGCTCAAGTGTATGATTAGAAAAGACTGCAACACCAGCCTTAAGCGATTCATAGCTCGTCTGCTTGCTTGTGGTTGCTGCT